CTATAGCTACTATATGAATTCCTATAGCTACTTAATGCTTTCTTATTGCTACCTATGATTCTATAGAGCTACCTAATGAATTCTATGACTACTTAATGAATTTCTGTAGCTACTTAATCATTTCCATATAGCTACTAAATGAATTCCTATAGCTACTTAACAATTTCTTATTTCTACATATGACTCTACAGCTACTTAATGAATGCTATAGCTACTTAATGAATCTCTGTAGCTATTTAATGATTACCTATAGTTACCTAATGATTCTACAGCTACTAAATGAATTATATAGCTACTTAATGATTTCCTGTAGCTACCTAATGATGGGACGGTTGAAGTGGAGAGAATTCATGTATTCAAAATTTGAATATCTCTTGGGTTCCCAAAAATATTCTAATATTCATAAAAAAAATTGTTTAATGACATAGTTTGAGCAGGGAGACGGTTGAAATGAAGAAAATCAAATATTCATAGTTTTAATTTTAATTGGGTTTATGAAATAAACTTCGAATATTGATAATGTTAATCTCTATTGGGTTCCCAAAAAATTTTCGAATATTTATAATATTTTTGTTAATGATATAATCTGAGCATTGGGACGGTTGAATGGAGAGAATTGAAATATTCATAATTTTAATTTTAGTTTGGTTTTGATGAAAAATTCAAATATTCAAAATATGAATAGCTATTGGATTCGTTAAAATATTCGAATATTCACATAATGAATCTTTTTAATGATATAGTTTGAGCAGGGGGATAATTGAAGGAAAAAATTCAAATATTTATGATTTGACTTCGTATTAATGATTAAGTTTCATCTTTAGATTTCTAAAAGAATTCAAATAAAAAACTTCAGTATTCACAATTTGAATTCCTATTGGGTTCATAAAAATATTCATGAATTGAATTACTTTTAATACTTTAATTAGCGCAAGAGGTTGGTCAAAAAAGTCTAAATATTAATAGCTTCAATATATATTTGGTTTGCAGAAAAATATTGATTTCTTTAATCTAAATCAGTGAAGCGTTTTAAGAAATAAATATTCATATATTCGTAATTGAAATCCGTACTTGGTTTGTAATAAAGAATTCAAATATTTACAATTTTGTTTGCTACTTGGTTTAAAAGAAATTCTAAAAATGATGACTTTTATGGCATATTGGTTTTCAAAATATTTCATTTATTCTTCTTCATAATATTATGAGCCATTCAGATATAGATTCTTTGTGAGATTATGATAAGTATTTTAGCTATACATAGTAGCGAGAAAAGAAAGGGAGCACAATATTAACTTGTGAGCCACAGACAAAAAATACAAATATCTTAGAGATCTATTGGCTAGTCAAATAATCGTCAGTATAAAGCTTTTCAATATTTAAGAAATGATATTTATAGCCATGAAAACGTTATAATAGCTATAAATAATGAAGGAAATATTTCGTATCGTTTAAATGGCAATTAGTTCATAAATAACAATGGTTTTTATAATTATCCGCGAGGTTTTTCACCGCTGTAGTGTGTTAAAATGACTACGGAGTGTTTTAATCGTTATCCAAACTTCAAATACGTACACCAACTTCAAATAAACGTGGGATGTCTTAATAATCAAAGCAAAACTTGAAGTAGTTGTAGAATGATTAGGTATATACAGGAGACCATAAAGTGGGTATAAAAAGTCATTAAGTAGCTATAGGAATTCATTAAGTAGCTGTAGAAAACCATTAAGTAGCTATATGAAATCATTAAGTAGCTATAGGAATTCATTAAATAGCTGTAGAATCATTAAGTAGCTATTGAAATTCATTAAGTAGCTGTTAGCTTTTTTCAAAAGTATCTCTTTTGGGAAGCTACGATATTGAAGTTCGGTTTGTGGATCCGATACAATCGAGAAAACAAAAGTAAACAAACCAGTCT